CAGATGCGAAACAAGGAAAGTGAAAAGAAGCGTGCTTATCTAACATTGGAGGAACTGCGGCAGTTGTCTGATGACACAAACACCTACAAATCAATAGGTACAAAATTTTAACTAGTCAAAGCCTTGTTGTTCATGACTTCTTGTTAGCATTTCCTTATACTTAAGAACTCTGAATTTTATTTTATTTTGTTTTAATCTATTTTGTTTTGCAGGGAGAACGTGAGTACTGGATAACCTTTATATACCTACTGTGATACAGTTCTCCATTCAGGAATAACCGAGTTCAATAAATATGCTTTTGCCCAAAGTGGAACCAGATGCATGTTCACTCACAAGCATTAATTTCTATCCTTTTTGCAGTTTTCCATCGTATAAGTACTTTAGCAACCACTTAACTTAAAAACAGATTACTTTCTTGACCATTTGATTTTTCTATCACCAATGAAGTGGACATGAGATTTGTTAATTGTGAWCTATAGAAGAAGCGATTTTAAAAAATATCTAAAACCTTGTATGATATGAGACGCTAAGGTGTCATTAATCTGTAAGTTTGGAGCATAGTTGTTAAAAATGTGCTTGAGGCACGCCTAGGCTCTGAGGCTCATAAGGCTCAAGGTCTTGGGCTTTTTTCAAGTTGAGGCTCAGTGTATTCACGAGGCTCACTAAGGCACTGCACCTTGTGGGCCTAGGTGCGCCTCATAAAGAGTTGCTAAATACCTAGTTAAATAAGATTAAATAAGTTTTCTCATCTTCTCATCTCCTAGATTTCTTAAAAAAAGTGTTAAGTAGATGACATAACTCAAACCCTAATACTAAATACCAGGTCTTTAGAACTTCAAGCCTTCTTCTCTATAAATACCCAGACCTTAAAACTTCTCCTTCACARCTCACACTTTAAACCYTTCTGCCTCTATCGAAGTACTGTGGTTGCTGCTTTGGAGACTTGTGTGAGTGTGTGTGTGTATATAACTGTATATATATTGATAAGATGTGCCTCGCAATCCTGAGGCCCGCGTCTCATGGCTGCTCCTCGCGTCTAGGCCCCGGGATCTCGTTGTGCCTAAGTGCGCCTTGAGCCTTTAACAACTTCGGTTTGGAGCTAAAGATAAATTTTCTACTGTCTCATTACACTTGTTCTCTCTAGTCATTTCCTCATTAATTTTTGTTATCCGTAACTCCCTTGTATATTTTCTTGTATACGATCAACAGGTTTGTCTTAGAACCAAAGCCATTTTAATGGATGAACGAGAAAAGAAGCTCAAGGATAGTGAAACTGCAATTGCCTCCTTACAGGTTTGCTCCTTAGTTTCTTATGTACTTTTTGCTGCATACTGCTAAGTTGTTCTAAATAGTATCATAATATCGGCCCAMTTTTCTTTCTCGGGTTGCATATTCTTTTGCCCCTGTTGACTGAAAGCTGAGATCTTTAGACTGAATAAATACAGCAATAATGTGATTCTTCATTGCCTTGGCAGATAGGATAGAAGAAAGAGTCTCTTTCTTCCTGATTATCTCAGAAGGAATACATAAAGCTCTTACAAATTAATCACAAATAGAGTGAATGGTATTTTTACCTTCCATTCTTCCAAAAATTCTTTATGAAGGGCGAAGCCCATGTCATCAATAGATTGCCTCGGTCACTTCTCTGCTTCCATGTGCCTAAGACTCATGTGGAGCCACAAATGCAAATAGGAGGATTGAAAGAGATTTAAAAAAATCTGGGAAAAAAGTTTTCATTCTAAGAGTAGGTGTGGAGAGCTTTTTGCTTGGAAAATCGTAGGTGTAGTTTGGGGGAGAAGGGTGTTGATCGAGTTCAAATGTGTTTCCTTTTTTGATGGGAGGGAGTAWGGATGATAACTTGCTTAGGTATTTAAATCTTTTTGTGCTAGTCAGTTTTTTTCATTATGTTCATCACTGAAATATGTACGATCATAGTTTTCTGTTTGTGCTAATCATGTCACTTGCTAGAAACCCTGCCATGTTTAAGGTTGTTTTAAGATTTGTTATAGATACTTAATGCTATGTTCTCGAATTTGAGAAGRAAAAAAAGAAAAGGAAGGGATGGGAAGAAAGAAAATTCTCTATTTGTGTTCTTGAGAGTGAAGGCAAAGAAAGGAAAGGGAATGAAAGAAACTAAATTTTCATGTTCTTGAGCAGGAGAGAAAGGAAAGGAAAGATGTCCTTTTTTACGAATATACCATTATTTATTTTCCAGCTGGTTATAATTGATGGGTAGATGTGTAATATTATAAATATATATAATTGTTTTTTTTCTTTCCTCCCACATTTGGAATTGGGAGGAAAGTTTTGGAAGGAAAATCAACATTATTTTCTTCGTTTTTTTTCCATTCTCTCCTAAAAGAAACTCGAGAACACAATGTTTTCTTCCCGCCTACTTTTCCTCCCTTTCCTACATAAAAAAGGACTCAAGAACACAGTGCAGCTGTCTATTCCTGCCTGAACTCTTGTCTTATGATCAAAGTACACAAGTTTCTTTAACAGAGTTGCCCATGGGGTGAATACTGGCCAGGATTTCTAAACTATTTGTTTCAAACCTTGGATGCTGGCCTGACAAATTCTTGGTATATTTTAGCTCGGATGCAAAATGGGAAATGATCTTAAATTGAGGGTCTCAAACAATTGATAGAACTTTTGTTAATCATCAGTTAAGTTCTTTAAGTTGTGGTTCAATTTCAACAATCATCACGAATAGTTTATTGCAAATGTGTGATGCCTTTTCACTATGGAATGGAAAAGACAAGTGGTATCCTCCTACATGTGGCTAAGATTGGTTGAGAGACAAATCGCCTA